ATCCGTTTGCCAAAATGTTGACGACTTATCAACGCGGAAAGAAATCAATTGCTAAAAACGAACGAGAACATTGGCCGCGCAGAGAAATTGCTGGAATTAACTCCGTGGATGTGACAGATTTTTTAGGGCAGAGTGTAACATTTTATCCACTAGATTGAATTCAACATTCTTAAATTCATGATTTCTTTAGAACCGGATTTTATATGAATAATAATTATTAAGTGCTCGGCTTTATCTCAAAATAAATATGCAAGAAGTGACTTTCTTATTTTGAAGTTGAAGTTGAATTTAAAATTTAAAATTTGCTTAAACTGCCACTACAGGATTTAAAAAAAAAATTTCTTTTAAATTTTGGAATAAATTTGGGATCTAATTGTAAATTACTTGTTAAAACTTTTAGATCACGCACAACTGCATTTCCTGCATAAATACTGAAATATTTTTTAAGGGTACTTTTTCATAAATTAAAATTTTGTTTGACTTCCTTAGCAACCCTTTTAGGTGTACATAAATCATAGGCCGAAGAAGAATAAAAGAGCGTTTCTCTTTTTTTTTTATTCATCTGGATGGTGCTATCGCCGCTATCGGTGTGGTTGGAAACCACTTTAAGAACCTTCTGGCTCGGCGCATTTTGCAAAACGAGGTCACTTGCCCATTTGATGATGAAAGAACCCTTTGTAGTGCGGCCGGTATCGAATTTTCGCCGAGCGCCAGCCTGGCGCCAAAGAACCCTTTGTTGTTGGGGCTTTGGGGCGCGCTGATTTGCATCTTGATGTAACTCGATTGATTGCGAATTTTCCGGCTCGATAATTGACGCGAGTGTGTGCGCGGGCGCGTCCTAATTGAATGTCCACTCACTTGATCATGCATGCGCGGCGCCAATTGGGAGAGCCCTGCCGCCTAGCTGGCGCCACTCGACCGAGATTTAAATATTAATTGGAGTGAGAGCGAGCGAGAGAGGGTCGACTGCCCAAGTCAAAGCAATTAATTAACCGGAAAATTCGCTAATTAGTTTTCCATTTTGTCGATTTGCTCATTTGCCGGCCGGAATAAATCTTCCTGTGTCTAACGGGAAATGTCAAGAGCAATGACTGTATAATTCTTTTTATTTTTATAGGAAGAAAGGAAAATATTAATTCTTTTAGTTCATAATTTTTTTATACAACAATATTTTGCTCTTTTTCATTTTAAATTTATCCTTTTTTGCTTCATTATTATCGTTATTTGTTTTTCAGCGTGAATAAATCCACGGATTGCAAAAGGATTACATTCATTTTTCCATTGAAAGTATCGAATAACCCGATCTGATAATTGGTTTTCAGGCCAGGCTACGCAGAAAGTCGGCTTGCAAAATTGATGGGGTCCATTTTCTCTCTCTATTATTTTATTCACAATCGCCAGCTGGAGCATTAGCAAAAAAGCGGGTGGCTCACGGCGGCGAGAAGAGAGTCCTGCTGCGTGTGTGTGTCTGTCTGTCTGTCATTCGAGCAGGTGCTTTTGTGCCGCTGAATTATTGAGAGCGAAAGCACCAACCCAGTGTGTGTCGCCGTCCGTCCGGCCATTCATTCAGGGCTTTTTGTCCGAAACTTTGCCGCTTTTTGGCCCACCGGCGGAATATTTAATGCCAGGAAAATGGTGCAAAAGGCAAAAAAGAGGCTCTCCAGCTCCGCTATGCTGATTCCGATTTATTAAATTTCTTCCTTTCAGCGGCTTTTTTGCTTGCTTGTGTATTTACATTTCCTCTTCTCAACGCACAAACAGCCAAGTTTATTACAGAAATTTCTGCTTCTGTGAATGCCCCTTCGCAAAATCCTGTTCCTTTGATGCTAAAAGGTAAAACGAGCAACTGGACATTTACATTTTTTTAATATACCAATTTCAATAAAAAAATTTACATTAAATAAGTTTAGAGTTCAAAAGCACCGCAAATAAACCTCGAATTCCGCGTATTGAAAGTGATGGGAATTATTTGTAAAGCGGATTCTAAATGTGCACCATTATTTATTTATTTATTTGCAAATAATTTCCACTCCCCCCCCCCAGTCATTTCGGCTGACAAACATTTGGTTGCAAATGTTCAAACACAGTGTTATGCAAATGAAAATATGCAAACACAACTTTGCAAATTTGCTCTGCTTTGGAAGGGAAATATTAAAGCTGTGCATAGTTGAATTTCAAATTTAAATGTAATCCTCGTCGCTAATAATTTATTAAGGATTTCCTGCTTTTATTAATAATCGTCTGAAGGTGCGAGGTCGGAAAATATAGGCCGCGGGATTGAATTTGGCATGGCATGAATTTATAGAGACCCTCCTTTTTTAATACATACGAGATGAGAGTGGAAAAAAGAGCGAAAACTTGAAAGGAGAAAGAAAGAAAGAAAGTTTGGAGCGGGAGAGGGAAAAATTTAGGGTGCAGACTGAGATTCAAGAGGAAAAAGCGGGGCTACTAATGTTATGGATGATACGGTATTAGCGGCGTGCGGGGAGATTGATGGAATAAGCCCTGAACAAAGGGCAGCTCCAATGATGGACCCGTCGGCTATTGATTGAAAAAGATTACACGGCCGCCGATATTACTGGGCTTGGATTTGAGCAGAAATCTGTGCAGCGCCACCGGGCTTTGATGCGCCCAAATTGCTGATCAAAGAGGCCTCTGGCCCTCCGCTTACTCTCTCTGGGCGGCGATTTTCGAAATCAGGCCAAATGAGAGCAACGCCCGCAGCGTTCAATTTGGGGGATACAGCAGCTTTATTTATTTCCACCCTCTGATTCCGACGCTCCCCTTTTGCTCCGAAATTATGCCGGTGATTTTTCATCCCACCCGAGATTTCCAGCCAACAAAAGCAGCCGAGTCTTTCTCCTGCCTGCCTGCAAGTTTCCGCAAGGGTCGCCCACTGCACTCGCGATCGATAAGGAGAAGAGTGAAAAATTGGACTATTGACCTGGGATTTGCACTAGGACGACCATAAAACCTATATTGCTTGACACCTCCGACACAATCCGGAGCTAACAATAAGACTCCATGTTAGCAGGTTTGAAGGTACAGAACATTTTTTTTTTAATTTTTAGAAAATAGTATTCTTAATCCAAACGAATTGTTGGTCAATTCCCTTTCTTAATTTAAATACTAAAAATAAAATACTTGAATAGGCAGAACTACAATTTCAGTGAATTTAAATAAATAAAAAAAAACTTATTTCACATTAGTTATTTAGCTCTTCTTTTGATGTTTTTCAATGCCGCGATCCTATTGTCGATTTAGTTGTATAAGGTTTTTGCTTTGTTCGGAAAACCAGTGGAGACCAGGAAACACGACCATTAAATTTCAAAGGGTTTGTCAGCACGTTTTTTGCGAGATTATCTTATAATCATTTTGAGTGCAATGATAAAAAATTAAAATTTATACAGCCGGCGCGCGTAATGTCAGTTTTGCGTGTCGCGTGCAATTTGACAGTGTACCGGGGCGACGGCAGTTTTAACTTTTTTTCCTTTTGCCTTGCATATTATACATGCTCGGAGCAGCAACAAATTCCGGCCGGCTAAAAGTTTCAAAGTTTGCGTTGCTAATTCTGGGGCTGTATAAGAGAGCGAGAGGCGAATGACATGACAAACAGCTCGCGTGGAAAGCTGAAAACGAACGGAACCAACTTCATCCAATATTAAATAGGCAGAGGCGAATTTCACAGGCTTCACTGCTAAAAGACTCACTGATTTCGCCTCGCCTGAATAATTCAAACGACCGAGAGAGAGCGGCGGAAAAGAGAGTGGGAGGAAAAAATAGGGTGAAAAGTGAACGTATGCAACCTTATGCGCTCGCAAGCGTGGCCGGTTGCCTACCCTTGCCTCATCCATAGACCACGGTGGTTGAAATTTCAACTCAAAATTCAATTTTTTTTTCACTAGCATTCAAGTCAGATCGATCTTGTGTATTTTTATTATACACAGACGGAGTTTTCTCTCTCGCGCGCGACGATGAAATATTTAAGCGCATCTATTCTGAGTTTCTCCATGCCGAAGAGCAAATATTTGGGCTTGTTTTGCGACAACTTTTCTCTCAATGTTTGCCTCCACACGCCTCATGCTCGACTTCCAAGCAAACATAAATTAATTTGATTTGAATAACATTTCCCACAGCATCCAACAGAGGGTTTCGACAAACTCGGCGTAAACAATTTTCTCTGCTTCCCCTGAACGTTCCAACAATTTTCGCTAAAAACTTTGGTCAAACTTATATTGTATTATGTCTGATTGAAAATTTATGCTTTTATGTAAATTACATCAACGGGTTTTTAAACATCATTTGAAAAAATCATTTTTTATTTAAAATTTGTTGTAAAATGGAATTATTTGATCAAAAGGTTTAAAAAGCACGTGAGGAAATTGAGAGAAGATCCTACGTCATGATTTTAAAGCCGGAATAGCGACGCTCTTGCACGCCAGATTGGCTTTCCGGACAAAATCCAATAATTCACCGAGCGCCGCCGCTCTCCAAAAATACCACACCACCAATCGCATGCGATACGGCATTAAAAATAGTACGCTACTCTTCCCGGTGGAGCGAAAGAGTCTAAAATTTTACAACCAGCACAGCTTTTCAATATTTCGGCGGCGTTCAAGGGTGGTTTTAGTGGCGCGCATAAAGTGTGTATTTTTGATAAGAGCAACTTATCTGTGAGCTTGCGGCCAAAGCACGCGCCGAAACGGACGCCATCCGGGTAAAAAACCAGCGAAAATTCAATATTTTTTTCCACAGTCCAGAAGATAAAACGGACTGCTTTCGCGAATTGTAATTTTGCTCTGGGAGTTAACGCTGAGCTGACAAAAATAAAAAATGAAACGCACATTAAACAGAGAGGAGCAGAAATTGCGCCAATTTCGGGCAATAAAACCGCACAGAGCTGAAACGTTTTTGCAGAGAGAAACTCACCGTTCGGGGCAGTTGTTGTCGGAGCCAACAATGGAGACGCATTATCTATAATTTGCGCTGCCTCCAGCAAGGTGTAGAGCCGCACAGAGGTCGCGTCTGCAACAAAATAGCGCTCAAATTATTATTGCTGTCGCGGCAAAGCCATGCGGATTTTGTAATTTGGCAATTTAGTTTCATATGTGTTTGTGTTTCCGAGCAGAATAGTGCCAGGTGTTGAAGCAAAAATATGAATAATAATGAAAATTGATTTCTTAATTTCCTTTCACAAAAAATTTATTAAATTTTAATCAAATGAAAATTATTATTTAATTTTTAAATCATTTATTTAATTAATGAAAAAATCCAAGCAAATCATCATTACTTTTGAGGATTTCCCACGATTTTCTCTCCGGCGTCAAATATTAGACAGGGAAATATTGCCACCGTTTTGCTAATTTGCAAGTCTCTTCCGCAGAAAAAAGCGCAGGAGCCTCATCCATCACTTTTTTTGAGTCAATATTTTACCAGCAAACTGCTGCTTCACAGCGGCACAAAACCAACAGGTGAGTGAAAATTTCGCTCGCTCATCAAAAAGCGAGCGGAGAGAATTTCTCACACTGCAAGCAGAAATATAATCAAGACAGAGCAGGTCGTAAAGATCACCCTTCCGTGACCATCTTCGGAATGCAGGCCAATATTCATCATAATCAACCCTGTCAGCCTTTTTCCGTTTTGAATAAATTACACAGACCGAAAAATTTCTCAAGCGAAATTGAAAAAGAATTAAAGGGCAGGAAGTGAGTCATCCGCGCCCATCCTCTGGCGGGCAGATGAACAATTGAATCACTTTCACTCTTTTTTATGATAATACACACCGTGCAGCAACAACAATCATAGTAATAATAACGGGCGTTGTTCTTTTTCTGTTTGTTTGAACCGGAAACACGCCTCTCCAAACAATAATGAGCCGCGCTGCGTGATGGATGGGATGGCCGTCCAGACCTGCAGAGCCGGCTTAGCTGAAATGGCCTCAGTTCTCTTGGGTCAACAACGCGCGCGAATCCAATTATACCATTCGGCGAATATTCAAAACTTTGCCGGCTTCCCGCTTGTGAAATGTGTTTGTGTTCGTTTCGCGTGCGACTGCCGAATAAATGAGCTTTGCCGCCACCCAATCGCGTTTCCAATACTTTTCCGCCTCAATAAAACTCGCACATTTGTGCAGCAGAGACGATAAAGCTGACAATTTTTTTGTCACCCACATTAACTACTCAATGTGCATGAGAAAAAAGTGCAATCTTCAGTATTATTATAATCAGTGAAGCCAGACAAGTCATTTATTTATCTATAAAATCCCTTTTAAAACATCGCATTTCAAAACGAAAGAAAAAAAGAATTAAGATTATGCTTATGGGACTGCTAAATTTTTGTGACTTTATTTTGAATGCTTTACTCATCTAGGATATTTTTAGCTTAAAGAATAAACTTTAAATAAAATTCCCGCCATTAAATTATCCATTTTCAAATATACGATCAGTACATTTTTTCCTCGTTCAACTTAGAAAAAAAATTAACTTTTTACCCCTTTCACGTCTGTAATTTCCCAATTTCCCATTGCTGCGTCGCTGGAATTCTGTTAACGCAGGTCCGAACGTGACAGTTTTTTCCCATTTCGCGCCTGTCATATAATTTATAAAAAAAAAAACGCTTGAAATTGAGATCACGTTCGTCCCGTCGCTTCCTGAGCGAGACAGAAAGCGTCAGACAGAAAGAGAGAGAGAGGAATGAATCGCGCTCACTTTTTTCAAGCTGGTCGGAGAGACAAAGGGCCTCAGGATGTGTGTTGGCTCAAAACACAAAAGCGAGACAGACAGCAAAGGATCACACCTTTGCAGGGTTTGTTTTTTCTGGGGGCGGACACTCCGTCTGTGTTTTACACCTGTTTCAAACGGAAATCCTTGTGGAAATAAATTTCACGGCACTAGAGAGAGAACGGGAAATAAAAATGGGCTCTAGTGTGACAGGTGATGAAAGAAACCACTTTATCTAAAAAATAACCACTCTTGCGACAGAAATTAATTTTTGTTGAGAGCATAAAAAGGATGGTTTTGTTACGACTTCTCTCCCTAAGGAGTAGAACGTAAATATTTGCCAAGAGCTTATAAAGTTCAATCAGTGGGAAATTGCAGAGATGGCGGTTTGAATTATTGCTGCTGCGAGATGTAATATACAGAGAGAGGTTATTTTCGTCCCTCGGGTCCAACTCTCTGTGATTGGAATTGGCTCTGGTAATTTTATTTTTCTGTACAAAAGGTCAGCACTGAGGTTCGCAGCCATCGTCTAATTGCGGCTCTGATTTAGGAATTATTTATTTAATCCATCCGGCGGCTAGTTAAGTCGGAGCAAACCGCAGCCGAGCAAAAGGCCCGTTGTAATTGTTATTATAGGGCAAAATTCAAGAGAGGGGGCGCTGTTTAGAAAACCGCAAAAGTGTTGTTGCAAAAGAGAACCACGGCCATCATCTAATAAATACCCTTGCTGCTGCTGCCGTTGGTTGGCTGCCTCTTTATTATCCGCGCGCACGCTCTCCCATTTAATTTTGAAATACAATGCCAAATATGTTTGAATTAGAGAGCTGTGCAGAGAGAGAAAGAGAGATGCTTTTTGTAATTGTAACAAATAATGCAGCAGCCCTCGCAGCTCGGTATGAAAAATGTCCAGGGAGCAGCGTTGTTGAGGTGGAAATTGCTGGAAGCCGCACAAAGGAGTAGTGAAAGCGACCCTTTTGCTTGTGCAAACTTCAGCGCAATAAAGTTTTGTATGGGTGTTAAAATAAATTCGAGCCCTGCTCCTTTGCTTTTATGGGCTGGAGGTGAAATTCGACACAAACTCGATTTGCTCAAACTGCACAGGCTGACCATGGGTTGTGCGCAATGTCACGTAGATTTTCCATTTATGCATTTCAGAGATCAAAAGGTTATCGGAAATTTTAGTTTATTAGGTTTATTAGTAATTCCGAATAAAAGTTAGATTAAATTTTACAAAACCAAAAATCAAAACTGTCGGATTTTAAACAATGCTGCTTTTTTTTTACAAAATTCTGGTAATAATTCACTCAACATGTTAAATTTGTGGACCGAATGCCGACTTTGGGCAGCAATAAAGACGAGAGGGCTCCTGTGGGAGTTTTAGGCGCGTTTTCGCAGCGAATTCCACGCGGCCCCTTTTATTATCGCTCACACGTTTTGCGCCATTAATCGCTGCAACAAACGCCGTAAATTGAAACGTGCTCTTGGACTGCATCTAACTCTTTGGGGCCTCTTCTGTAGCCCGACTGCAAAGTGGCCCGAAAATAAAATGGACTGTTTCCCACGAGAAAGATTATTTATCTTTATCGCCTCCCTCTGGTAAATAAATATGAGGCCGGCGCGCGCGTTTTTATCAATTACGCCGAATCTCCCCGCCGCCGCCGCTGCGTTTACATTTTGAACGCGGAGGGCTCGGTTGGGAAACAGATTTCGCCCCGCAGATATACACATATAATGCAGATTCAAAAGGAGCAGCGCTCCATTTGTGTTCTGGCGAAGAGCTTCTGCCCTGCTTTCGCAGCGCCTTTGAATGAAAATTATATCTGGCTGCTGCTCCGCCCGCCCTAAATTGAAATCAAAAAATGCATTCGCCGCCGCCGCCGCCGCATTCGAGCAGCAGGCGAAGAGAAGAAGCCTTTCTTTTTCTTTCTCTCTCTTTTGCAGAGCTGAAATCGAAGACGCACGAGAGTGGAGATGATAAGAAAGGGAGGCAGCACGGCCTGCTACGTCACCGCCAGAAATCAATTTTCGCGCATACACTTATCTCTCACACTTTGGTGGTGCCGCCAACCAATTTGGGCCAGCGAGTTCAAAAGTTCAGCACCCTTTTATTATTATAGATTGCTCAACATTATATATAATGACAGGGCTTTCTGTTTACGGTTTACGATACTAAAAAGTCGGATTTTAATATTTACTGATAATGTTTACAAATAAATTTTTGAAAAATCTCTATCATCTCAATTCAATAATTCAATTGTAACCTGACCTATCTAATAAAGCCAAAATAAATCTGATCATAATGAAAGACGAAAGAAATGTTAAAATAATTAAAAAAGTAAATATAAATTAAAATAATACTAAAATTACTTTAGAGGCTGAATCTGCATACTTAAGAGCCTTTCATGCCTTGACTAATTTAAAACTTTTTCAGCAAAGAAAGGCGCCGACTCTTTTTCTCTCTTGGCGCGAAACGCAAAGAGCAGCGTATTAAGGAGGCTGAATTGCATCTCTCTTTCTCAAGTCGTGTTTTTCCGCCCACAAAAAGTGTATACAAACGCCGAGGCCATTACGCAGCTACTAGTTGTTGTTTTTTTCAGCTCCTCGGTAATGGTCTTTTTATTAAACACAAGTGTGCACTTTGTTGCAAATAACGCGCGGGGAATAATATGCGGAGCACACTCGAGATGGCCTGCACAGGCTCGCGGTGGAATTCGCAGTTAAAAATAGAAAGAGTTTTCCTCCCCAACGCCGAGCAGCACCACCGCAGCCGGCGCGAGGCTTATTTTCCTCGCAAGGAAAATATAAATAAGGCTCTCGGTGCGCGCTGTGTTGTGTTTTACAAGCGATGCAATTTGTTTTATTCAAATTTACGAGCGGCGCAAAACGCGCAAATCAATACCGCCAGCCTGCGGCGCTGCAACAACCAGAGAGCGGGGGTGGCCGTTCTTCTTATTTCGCTCCGGCACTGCGGCTTTTTGCGCGATTAGTCTTGTCACTGGCAATAAGCGGGCTTGATTTATCAAATTCGTTAAAAAATGGGGTGCCAAGTCTACTCGGCGCTTGTTTCCTTTTTCTCTCTGTCTACGGCCAAGCAAAAATGTGCAGCCGGAATTGTTTGCTCTGTGAGGAATTCGGAGCTCAAATAAGAGAGCGGTCGCATTCCTCGTCGGCACAGACGAAATAATATAAAAATTCCGCAATTTATCTCTCCTAGCCTTGCCCGTCCACCCCGAACTGACTTTTCGCACTCCCTCTCTCTGTTGATAAACGCGTCCACCCAGCTTGACGTTCTTCATTACTTTGAAT